TCATCATGGGGCCAGGCTCTCTATAATGTCCTGGGCCCTGTCCTGTGCCACCCTCACAGATGTTCTTATGTATGTAACCCATGGGTGCAGCCACTGCACCCATCCATCTCCTGGAGGACCTTCCTCTTTCTCTGACCCTTTCCTTCACCCAGCATGGCGCCCTTTCACAGGGGCTGGGGACAGTGAGCTGTAACGAGGTGAGGGAGTGAGTATGCCCACCCAGGGAGCAGGGTCGGTTTGCCCTGCTCCTGCCTGGCTCATTCTGAGGGGCTCTGAGGGGTCTCAGGAGCACAGCCCAGCATCCCGAGTGCTGGGACTCCTTCCCTTTCCCATGCCCATTGTTCCTGTGGTCCTGCCCTGCCTCACTACCCTTTCCAGGTGGCCCAGCTGCTGGTGTGGGCACTGTTCCCTGTTCCTGGGCCATCAAGTGGTCAGGGGCTTCTAGGTTTTCCCTGCTAAACACAATAGGGTCACTGTGCATGGTGATACTTCACAATCACCCAAAGGCCCAAGTAGTCCAAGTGTCCACCCACAGATGACTGGACAGCGGATACACCTTCCTTCCATCCTTTCAACGGGGTGTCCTTGTGCCACAGAGGGGACTAAAAATATTTTGGAGTAGAAAAAACTCAAACAGGAAAGGTCTGAAAATGCAGATAAGCACAACAAATACCTATCACCCATCCTCCTCCTGCCCTGGGGTAGGGGTGGGGGAGCTGCAGCCTAGGGCTCCTGCTCTGCTCAGGCCCAGACTTCCTGCGGTTTGCAAGCAGGGCTTATTTTAGCAGGTTACTCACGCTGCACGGAGGGCCCTGTGAAGTACAGTGAGCAGAAAGGAAACATTACCCCTTCACCTTCTCCTCTCCCCTTTCCCCCTCCGCTGCTCTTGGAAGGTGACTGCCTGCTGCTTGTGTATTTTCCCAGATTGTCTACATACATGCGCGCGCACGCGCACACACACACACACGACACGTGACTCAGACTTTGCAGCTGTTTTGCAATTTTGTTCTTTTTGCTAAATAGGCATCTTTGTGTGGGTGTATATGCGTGTGTTTGGTTCTGCCTCATCCCGCATCTGATGTTCTGTCAATCTATCTACCTGCCTGCCTGTCTGTCCATCTGTCCATCCATCCTTCTCTCTAGCTTTCTCGTTCTCTTTCTTGCCAACCAGCCACCCATCCAGCCATCATCCATCCATCCATTCTTCCATCCATCCATCCAGCCATCATCCATCCATCCATCCATCCATCCATCCATCCATCCACCCACCCATCTTCCATCCATCCATCCATCCATCCCTCTTTCTACCTAGCTTTCTCTCTTTCTTGTCTGTAAACTGATCAACATCTATCTATCTATCTC